CTATCGAGGTACAACGCAGACCGTTAGAGCGTAGGATCCAAAACAATAAAAGAAAAACTTTTATTCAATAAACATGATTACCAACATTCAGGAAGAAAAAAAAAATACGCATTACACCTTAAATACATGAGGTACTGGATAAAAAAAACAGTAAAGAACTTTAAAAATTTACTGCCCTTTGAATCTATAGTTTCGTTTCTGACTGATAAAAACTGCATGGGAATGATTTAAATGTGCCCAAAAGTTTCCTGAACCAATAAATTGGTATGCTCAAAAGTGTCAAAGTGACCAGCAGATTTTTTATGCTTAAAATCTTAACTGGCCATAATGTTAAAGAAAAATAGAAAGTTAAAGCAATATAAGATGACCAGTTCTTCAAGAAATAGATCTAGGATCCAACATCTAATCAAAATTTAAAAGAATCAAGTCTTGTGGTTCGAATATGTAGTATTAGTTCAGTAAGACTTAACCATTTGAAAAAGGTTAAACATAAGTTTTTAGGGAAAAAAATAGTTGTTATCAATTTCATAATATTTTCTTCTAAAAACTTCCTATGACAGGAAACAAGTTTTATTGACGTTCTTTCCCTTATTAGTCGGATGTTATCCACATAATAGCTTCTTTATGAGCGAAAGAGTTTTACCGAAAACTAGCAAAAGCGTAACAGTATAACCCATTATGTTTATTTGTGAACTCTACATTGCTAAAATTTGCTAATAAATGACAGATTTATGTCAAAATGAATTCTGAACAATCAATAAACACATTTTAAGGATTTGTGGAATATATCAGGTGATTAAATGTTATAAATTAGGATAGGCCCTAGGGCATCAAATTAACACAGTATATGATAACATCTTTAGAATTTATTGATCGGACCAGTTTCATAGTTCCTTCAAATTTCACAACTTCAAAGTTCGACATTTTTAGAAAGGAAAGAAAAAAAAAACATAACGTATTTTACTGTAAAAACGACAAGATGATTGATCCAAAAAAACACCCATAATCAGATGATAACTTCACAAATAATAGGCAACAGTTGACACGGGACTTGTATCAAACACCTGGTACCTACACTACACATATTGCAAATTCTTTTGTATAAAACGTTTTTATTCACAATTTCCCGCTCCTGGAACACTATAAATAAACATAAAAGCCAGCACGAGCAAAAATCGACTAAATGTGGCTAAAAATCACTTCATAAAAAGCCCATGGCATTTTCAGTAAACAATCTACATCAGCTGCAAAAAGAACTTACACTGGAAACCCTTTGACTGTATCTCTCGAACACCTTGGGGGCACCATTGTCAACTTGGTTGTCGAGCAAATCACTAGCACCCGCTCTCAACACTTCCCCAATAATGCGGAAGGCAAAAGGAAAAGAACTTCTATGTACGTGTCTAATGGGTTTTGAGGGTAGTCTTGGTAGATCACGTTCCTTTTCTTATTCCCTTTTTTTTTTATTAGTTCAGGGGTAATACTGACATTTTAATAAAATATCTCCGCATTTTGACCCGGACACAAAATTACACCAATTTTAGTGGGCCAATTTTTTGGTTAAACGAGCGCATAACCGGTTTATTAGCATACTATTTTGATAATATTATGAAAATTCGTAAATAAGCTCCTTTCTCTTAATTTAAATATATGCAGTGAGTGATAACACATAATTTATTTGTCCTTTTCATGGGAAAATATAACTTCTTTTTAGTAGCATTGAACAAGCTATCTTTTATATGGTGAATCATTTATTTCATTACAAAGGGGTGAAAGATGTGATAGAACTGAGGAAATGAAAGAGATTTTTGTTATAAAAAAGGGAAGAATAATAATATTTAAATGTATATATTTGTATTTGTCTAATAGTTTTTTTTTTCTTTTTTTTGTTTGGAGGGGGTGGGGGGGCGTAGCAGGTCTAATTCAAGATTTACACCCATATATTTATGTGGTTGTGTGCAAATCTACAATAGTATGATTATGTAGGGAAATTCAACATATGTGGTATCTACAAAACTCAAGATCGGGCCATGCACTAAGCAGCATGAATCTAGGACGAACAAAGTTTTTGGATAATCTATCATATTTGGAGGGCCTTCAAAATAAATTAAGATTTATTTCTTTTCTTTTTTATATTTTGTTTACATTTATTTTACATTAAAATAATTATAAAAATAATAATTTGAAGTTTTCAAGAAAGTGTTCTGGGCTGATTTGTCAGGCCCAAGTGATGTGGGCTAAATTGTTCAAGCCCAAGTGATTTGGGCTAAATGGCTCAGGCCCAAAAATATAGGAAAAGGGCCCAAGCCCAAATCATGCCTCGAACGGTAAATGAACATTTAAGCTATAGACGTGCGCGTGAGAAACACTCACTCACTCACTCACAGTCATGCAGTGTTAATGTTCATGAAGCAAGCCTAAATTACAGGGTTTTTCCCCAACCGGGTAAACTGGAGTTTGACTTCGCTCGTTTGATCACGTCCCTTCGTTGGTTCGAATCAACGTTCGGTCTTATTTGAAGCTACTGATCTAGGACACAATGGGAAGGAAGATTTAATTTGAATCTGAGATTTAGAGTCCTATCTTAAAGTTACTGGTGGGGTCGATACATAATCAAAAGGAAATCCATCCGAGTATTCGGGTAGCAAGCACGAGAGCAAAGAACATCAAAAGTCGGGGCCAGTAATGGCCTCGCATGAACGAAGACGAAAAGCCGGGGTGGTAATCGATCCCCCACAAGCCAAAAAGCCGAGGTCAACTTCGCACTAAAGACAGGACGCCATCGGTATCGACCACGTTACCAAAAAGCCGAGGTCGACCTCGCACAAAACGAAAACGTAAAAGCCAGTATTGTAAAGAGAATTTCTATGATTTCCATACCAAGATTACATGTAAATACATCACACACACACAAATACCAAGGGCTAGGGTGGACTCAAGCCCCCCCTCACTTCAAAAATTTTCCCTACTATATATATATATATATATATATATATATATATATATATATATATATATATATATATATATATATATATATATACATATATATATAGATATATATATATATATATATATATATTATTTATATCCACATAGGGCGCGTTGCTTACCCAATTATATTATTTTATCCACTTAGGGCTCGTTCGGTTACCTATATTGGATTAGATTGGATTACATGAGATTAGATTAACTCCCTACTGACTAATTAATTAATTAGTTAGTAGCATGTTCGATTTCTTAGATTAGATTTTCTATTAAATTTGTTAAAATCGGTTATTATATATGAATTGTCTATAAAACTAGGGGTGGGTTTTTTTTACCAAATTGCCCTACCAACCCGTTGCCCTACCGAGCCCTACCGATTCTCTACCGAAATATTTCTACCGAACTATTACCGTACCCTACCGTACCCTACCGAAATGTTTTGGTAGGGCAACGGCACTCAATATTATTAAAATGGTATTGCCCTACCGTACCGAAATATTATTAATAATAAAATTTTATTTTAATAATTAATTTATTATAATCAAAAGTGAACATAGTATCCTAACTAACTACTATTAGTTAAAATTAATTATATTCTTTAGGTATGTCAAAAATATTTTAAATTGCTTTCATTAATAATGATATAATTGATGTTCAAAGTTTTTATGTTATAATTTTATTTACGAAATATTTCATATTAGGTAAATGAAGAACATATATTTAGAATACTTATATCATAAATACTAGTTTTGAACATTTTAATCATGTATATACCTTGAATTGCTTTGAAAAAATTGATATTCAATTTAGATTTAAATAGTAGATATAATAGATTGGTAATTACCATTACCATAACATACCGTACCGAAATTTTGGTATGCCGAAATCGGTATACCAATGTTTTTGGTAGGGCAATGGCAATGGATTTCATAATACCAAAATTTTGGTAATGGTAGTGATTCGAGGGGTTTGGTACGGCTGCCCTACCAAACCCACCCCTATATAAAACCACTTAGTTTACAATAATAAAATATGATTTTAAGGATAAAACTGTTTTTTTCCTTTTTAGTCACCCCCTATTAAATTAATCTCAGGGGGAGGGGTGATACTAATTTAATGAAATAGGAGCATCTAATAGCGGGCTTTGATTTTAGTAGCGGTTTAGAATAAGTGTGAATCTTGCCAACCGGACATGCTATTAGCCCCTACTATTTAGTCAGTAGAACCTTATAGCGGTAACCGAACGAACCCTTACTTTTACTCTAATTAAGTCCACTTATTCAAAGTCGCCTCACTTCTCAAAGCCCCATTCATGTCTAACTTGTTTCGTCTTCTATTTCCCAACTTAGTTCTCGTTATTTGAAAAAGAAAAAAAAAACTTTGTTCTATTGCATAGGCGCATTAATGGCGGTTAAATTGCTACCCACTGGCGATCGAACGTACACTGGCGATCAATTAACGTTGGATGTCTTTTCGTTCATCTTAAGAATATTGTTTGATGTCTTTTCTTTCATCTTAAGAATATTAATTATAAGTCCATTGTGTAAATTTCATAATCGACTTGATATTCATGTTTCTTAGATTTTTATAGTAATTTAACTTTCGCGATTCGTTTTGGTATTATCTTTCGTTTTGGTATTATCTTACAAAAATAGAGAGAAAAAAAATTCATATCAAATTTTCATCTTAAATTTCTTTGATAGCAAAATTTTTTTCGGGGGCTCTGCCCCCGAACCCCCGATATGTTTAAGCCCTACCTCACAGGCCACTGCACGCAAGTCATCTGCCGCCTGAAGCGCCATGTCAACCCACCTTTGACGCAAATCGGAAGGTACTCTCCAATTTTCAAGCTTTTCGACAATCAATTCCCGTGCTTCATTCCTCTGGGTCCGAGAACGATCGATAGTGATACAATCAACCTGCGTAGGATGGTCAAAACTCTTGACCAGTTTTGGTTTAGGGGAATCTTCTTCGAACACAGAAAAATTTGATTTCAATGAGAACTTGAATTCCGTCATAAACTTAGTCGGAGTGGAAGCTCCTTGAAGTCACGTTGACAGCATCAACGTGAGTCACAGATTTTTTCGGAGTCTCCATGTTTGGGTTTTCTTTTCAGAATAAGAACCAGAACAAATAAGAACGAGACGGAGAAGAAGAAGATTGTGGAGATCGGAAGGAGAAGAAGAAGATGGTAGAGAAGAAGAGTCGGCGGTCGAAAGAAAAAAAAAAATTCAGAGAAGGGAGCTGTGAACGGCGCAAGAAGAAGAAGAAAAAAAAAAAAGAGTTCAGAGGGGAAGGAGATGTGAGCGGCGCAAGAAGAGGAAGAAAGTAGGGTTTTATTATAAATTTGTGGTATTTACTGTTTAGTCCCTTGGATTCTGAATATTCAATATTTGGACTCATCAGTTTGCTAAAGTGGGCTGCTGGGCTGTCTTGCTAAAGTGGCTTTTTAAAGCCTAACTAGAAACAATATAGTAAATTAATAATGAAGAAGTATTAATAAATTTCGGAAATATTATCGGGGTGCAGGGTTTGTCACTCTCTGGCATGGCATTGCAGCCCATAAAGAAAACCGTCTTGAACTTGGCATATTTTACCCGGCATTGGTTATTCTGACATTGTCGAAAGCAGCAACACAGGTGAGTTTACAAGGGTTTCTTGATGATCAAGTAAGTAGCACAGACGAAGAGGAGAAAGAAAGAGCCTGTGAAAGTAGCATATTCTGGTTGAACTTGGCCTCCTTTGCTGCTGCCATTATTTCTATTTTATTATTTTCAAGAATTGATTCCTTTATGATTCTCTTGATTGCATCTGTGATTGGCTTCTCTTTGTTCTTGTTGGGCACCAAATCCTACTACTTCACCAAACCAATTGGTAGCCCACTCTCCGATGTTGCTTCTGTCATCTGTACCGCCATAAGTAAGATAAATATCGAATATCCGCAGAATCTAGAGCTGCTATTACACACTAATCCTAGCTGTCTTGTTGAAATTTCGCCCCGTGTCCCATGGTTGAGGTATGTGTGTTTGTGTTGTGTGCCTCTCTCTCTCTCTCTCTCTCTCTCTCAATGAATGAATGAATGAATGAATGGGAGTACGCAGATGGTTAGATAGAGCTGCAGTTGTGTTAGAAGAAAAACAAGGCCAGGTTTGCAGTGTTGAACAAGTGAAGGGAGTGAAATTCTTGTTGAAGATGGTTCCAATGTGGACAACATTTCTCACATTCAGTTTGGTAACCGCCACAGGGAGCACTTTCTTTCTCGAAGAATCCATCAACATCAACACCGATTCTCCCGTTCTACTTTTCATCAATATGCAGAGATTAGCATCTTTCTTGGTCGCCCAAATATCTAATTTCCTACTCAGCAAACTTTGTAACAGAATTAGGAATAACAACAACAACAACAATAATAATAATAATAATAATGGACAGTGGTATCAGCTTGTGAGAATCGGCATGGGAATGGTGTGCAGTGTGGCGTGCTGCATAGTTGCTTCGATAAACGCATTTCGGTGGCTGGATCATTTAGTCAAGATAGACACGAATTATCCGAGTGTTTATAGGCTGATGATTCCGCAGTATTTATTATTAGGAATAATGGAAGGACTTTCCACATATGGGCTCGAAGAATTCTTCAATTCTCAGGTTTCTAAATCAGTAACTAGCTACGGGCCTCCGTTTGGAGAATATGTAATGGGAGTTGGGAAATTTTCTAGTGCAGTTTTGATCAACACAAGCACGTGGTTGAAGAGTGATATTAACTCGAGTCGCCTGGACAAGTACTATGCTCTGCTGGCATTTATAAGCTTTGCAGGTATGATAATCTACTGGTTATTCGCGTTTTTCTACGGAGACGAGATATTTCTGTCAGACAGCAATGAGTCCGACATAGAAACGGGCGATTCTGTTCGATTAGACAATATAAATTTCTCAGGAAATACAGAGGAATGTTTGTTGAACCAGGACAGCTGTCAAGAAACAGAGGAATCGAAACAGCAGCTTGTTATTTCAGAATCTGCGGCCGCCAATGCACCGCTGCTGAGGGTGGTGCGTTCATTTCAACGGCCTTCGTCATCCAGGGGAATTCACAGACGCTTCAATTCCATGCGTTGACTTTTTTCTCTCTTTTTTGGTAATATTTTCCCCTCCTTTTGTTAGCTTATTAGCATGCATGGTTTCTTGGTACTTCTAATTTAGGTTGTCTGGTGGTTGTTTTGTTTTACAATTTATGATGCAGAATGTTATTTTTGCAGAAACAATTTTGATTTCCTTAAGATCATATTATCCTTGTACTACTGTAAGCAAGAAGACAAGGAATACTAACAAGTAAGAACATACACTACATAAGAGCATTTAAACAATGATGAAAAGGTGCAGATTACATATAATATAACACAGAATATATATATAGTAGAGCTCACAGCTAAATAAATAATAATATACAAATCCAACAGATAAATTAGTTCCAAATCATTAAATATCTAAAATGTCGCCAAATCATGTGATGTTGTCCGAAAAAAAATTCCAGTTACCACTTTTCTGAAATAAGCAATTTAAAGTAGCATTTTATTATTTTGCCAAGACATTCATTCTTCCCCAATTTTAAAATAAAAATTCCTCCCAACCTTTAATTGGAGAGGATTCCGCAAAAAATGCATGCCCTATCCTAACCTCATTCAGTTCAATACAAAAAAAAAAAAAAAAATTATGATGGCTGCTGTAAAATTACTCTCAACTTCGAACGTGTCAATTACGACAAACATGGCCAAAAAACATTATTCCGATCAAAAGCTTAACCCCCACCAAAACCTGCTGCTACTCCACTTGGACTTACAACCCGATCGTTTTCTCAAATTTCTGGATTTGGTTCAAGAAAATCCAGGTCATCTGCAACAACACAAATCCAACGGTATCAAACCAATTAGCCAATTTAATAATAACCATCTTAAAAACATAACTTTTAATAACACAGTACAAGGGAGAAAGGTGTACCATGACGTGAGGGGCGATTCTAACACAGTAGACTGGAAATCCAGTGTAAAACTTGAACGGTCCACCAGCCTTGAATGTTTTCACGACACAATCGACCGAACCAGTGTAGGGATATTTCCCTTGAGCATCTGGCTGCATTTTCTGTATTTGCGTCTTCACATAATCAAACGGCAAACTACACGCCGCAGCAAAGAATCCCGACACAGTACTTGCCCCTGAAATCAGACACGAAAAAAAAGCTTCAAAATTTGCCCCCACCCAAAAAAGTAAAAATAATAAGAGGTCTCAAATCTTTACAGAGTGGATTATCACACACCTACAACAGTGGAAGCCTCGCCAAAACCAAGAGAGTCCCTACAGAACTCGACACTCTGGTCATAAGAAGCGAGCATGCCCATGTTAAGTGCCATAGCTCTGACCACAGTCGGGCCCGCACCTTTCCAGAGAGATAAAACTCCTTCATCAACAACAATTCGAGAGAGCGCGTGAAATGCGTTTGTGTAGTGACGTCGTTGGGCGAGAGGCAAAGTAGCATCAGCCTGCATGCGAATTAGTGCTAAATCCGCAGGACTTCCCACAGATGCACCGATAGCTCCAGCTGTCAATCCACACAGAGCCTTCTGATAAAGCGGCAATGGCTTCCCATCATTGGCCTCTATTGCTTTGTTTGTCAAAATCCTATCACAGGAGAGTTTTTAAAGTAAACAAAAGTTCTATATTGTTTACAGAATCGCATTATAAAATATTCCACCATTTTCAAGATTATGAAGTACAGGGAGAGGCAGGGTAGCACTTTCTCAATCCAAGCCAACATAGGGTACAAACAAAAGTTGAGAAATGACAAAATACGGAAAATGATTTCATATTTGAATGACAAAGCAAAATTATTTTGAGATATGGTGATTGCATATGATAGTTTACTAAAAATGTCGAATTACTTTGGATGCAACAATTAACTGCAAAATAGAAGGAAGAACACATCCTATATAAGTCGTACACAATCCTCTTACTCCATTAACTCAAATTGTTGTTTTTTTTTTTTTTTAACTAGTAAAATCATCATAAGAACAACTCATAAGAACAACTCACTTGAATGTTCCAAGACGTGCGGTTGTGTATGTGGCTTGTCTAAGAAGCCCAGCAGACAAACCCTGTAGAAATAAAGGTAACAATTTTAACAGATAATATAAGAAATTAAAAGACATTGTCAAGATCAATAAGAAACCAGTTTTCTGATCCTGCAAGATTGGTGGATCGCATATTATGAAAGGCATGGCCCATTTGTATATATAAAGAGAGGTATGTGCCGTATGTTATAGCCTCTATCATATTACCAAAACTTAACTAAGCAAACATATTTTTGAAGAAGAAAACGGTGGCAGAGTAAATTCTTATTAAAATCAAAGAGTATATGCTTATAGTATCGAATAGCAAACTAACACATTACACATCATAACAATGCCGCAATGTTAAAGTAAAAAATTCTAAATTCTTAGGAGCAAACATACCTTGTAAAAGGCACCAAAACCTTCATTTTTAAGCATGGTCTTAGTCACATCAACTGCGGATCCCTGGCCCAGTTGAATCCTGACCTATAATTAAGAAATAGAAACTGAAGATCAACACCAATAACCTTCAGCTAATAATGCAAACAAATAGAATATACTCAATTTCATTCCGAGTATCGATTTCAATATGCTAAATAAACCATAAGAATAATAAGATCTAACGAGACCCAGAACGGCTCAATCTTTCAACAAAATAATGCTAAAAATGAACAACATATACATCGTAAGCTCGGAAAACAGAAAAAAAAGACCCAAACCCCATCAAGAAAGCATCTGATATAATCCATATGAAGACCTCATTGAATCCGAGTGTTCAAAATTGACACTAAATCCATCTGATCTAAGATCTGAACCATGACAAGAACCCAACACTCACAATCGATGAAGAATAAATAAAACAGTCTTCAACAATAAATAATTACAAACAAGTCGATGAAATGAGTGCGTGCCAATACATGAGAATATACGTGGGGATTGAATACCTTGATCATATCGATGGGTTGGATAACACAGGTAGCAAGCATACCAGATGCACCGCCATTAGCGAACGGCTTTACGGTCGACCAAATTCCAACTGATTTCGGCTTCTCTTCTCCCATTCTCCAACTCGCCTCTTTTTTTTTCCTTCTCTCTACTTTTTTACAAACAAATGAAGATCGACAGCGCCTGGAGAGAGAGAGAGATAGAGAGACGGAGAGTTATTGTTGGTGGACAACACGAGGAGTGATGGCAGCTGAAGAGAAAGTATGCCCTCTATTATTACATACAAAATGTGTATCTATCTATGTATTTATGTATATATATTTTCAGTTCTGGCAATTAGGTTACAGTCCCAGTATTCTCATTTCGGGTCAAGAATAGCAGTTTATTACAAACTTGACCTAATAGTTTGATGATTTTTTACTTTTGGACTGCTATTTTTACATTCTGAACTTTTCCTTTATTTACATTCAAGTTTTTTGATAGCTTACTTACACTGTACAATGGAAATGTAATAATCTAAATTTGTTAAGGTCTCATTTGATTATAGTGAACGTAATATTATTCAATTTTAAGATAACCTAATTGTATAATTGAACTGATAGACTTCTAGTTTATAATTCATTAATAGCCCAATACACAAATTTATTATTCCTTCAATTGCATGTTAGCTCAAAACATTTATTAAATAAAATCAAATTATTTAATTAGTTATCACTAAACTTATTGGGTCAAAGTAGATATAAGTTATTATAATGTGAACGCAAATTAAATTAACATTTGCTGCTTGACTTCCATGTTGAGGAGCACGACAAATGTTTGCTTCATCATAAATTTAACAATTTGATTATTTAAAACAAAAAAAAATGATTAGTAAATTAATTGAGAGGGGCACATCACACCAATAGTTTCTGTTTCTTCAAGATTCAATTTGGCATACACCCAACCCAACTAACACTCCATGATTTTTCTACTTCCCATGTTTTTTTTTTTGGGGGGGGGGGGGCAATCGAATTAATTGAAAATATTTGGGCCAATGATGAAAACAATATAATATTGACAAATCAGAGTTTCCTTTTCTGCAAGATTCAATTTTGGCGTGGTTCTAGGAATATTTCTTTTTAGTCGCCCACCCCACCAACACCAAGTGGGGATGCTTTTCACGCATTTGTTGAGATATAAATATAAATGAATTATTAACCAATACAAATGGATCAAACTAAATAATAAAATTAAAATCGACAGGCCCATTTTTCTTCAATATTCAACTTTGGCCGCGTGATATATATTTATGTTAGTAAGAAATAAGAATAATTTAATGTTGATTTGCTACTCACACAAGAATTGACACCGTTAGCACACAAAGTATGAATGTATCCCATTAAGTATATAATATCACACGTAAATGTAGTAGTCAAAATTCATGTTTATGTCATTTTATATTTTATGATAATTAAATCTGGTGACCAGAGTTTATAAAACGCAATGCAATAGTCAAATTGTAATATTTACGTGTGTTACCATTGGTCAATTTTGGCTACACTAATGGGCCAATTTTGGCTACACTAGTGGGCCAATTTCGTGTATTTGTAATAGATAAAATTTATTAATTCCAGAGTTAGAGCAGCCCATTAGACCCGATCGAGGCCCAACTTTTAATTTCTAAGACCTTCAAAAGGGGAATATTTCCAATAAATAAATAATTGCAAATAAAAGTTCCAATTAAATAATTTTATGCACTCTATATTTTACTCCTTACATTTCAAATTATACATTCATATATGTCATATACCATTGCATACGTTACTTTTGACATGCTAATTTCCGAACATTTAACTTGTTATATATATTTCATGTTTATTAATCGAAAGAGTTTTAAGTCCAGTACAAAAATCTTGCCAATTTTATTTTTATTTTTGAATAAAAATTAAAAAAGAGAAATTCCAAAGGGGGGGCAAACATTGCCTTGAGTGTCCATGTTCTATTTCGTTTAAAGTATAATTTATTTACATGATAAGGACCAACTTGTAATAAAAATATTGTGTGCAAAAACTTAATAACATTTCCCTCTAAAAAATATTCCCAAAATTTGAACTTGCATTGTTCGCCTTCTCCTCACATGGGTACACGTGGCCCAGCTTCCAATCCGACACACAGTTTTCCCAAATTACCCTCACTCTCACCCATAACATACCAATGGAGCAATGAGTATTTATGTCATTTACCACTTTGGGCCGTGGGAAGCTGCGAAGTCCAACAGTGAGATGTCGAGATGGGCTGGGCCCACATCACAGCTGGCACCAAATGGTGGGGCCATACGGATTCCAACCATTTTATCAAATCCCGTAAATAATTTCCCATACGCCCACTCTCACTCACTCACTCCCCCCTAAATCTACATACATATACTGGTTTAGAAAGAGAAAATATCTCTTTCTTAATTTTGAAATCACAGACCTAAACACAGAGAGAGAGAGAGAGAGAGAGAGAGAGAGAGAGGAAGGGAGGACAGGGTTTAGGCTGTTGTGTTGTGTAGCAGTATTCATCTGAAGAAAAATCGTAGAGAGAGAAAGAATGAGAGAAATAATAAGCATACACATCGGGCAAGCCGGGATTCAGGTCGGGAATTCTTGCTGGGAGCTGTACTGCCTCGAGCATGGTATTCAGCCAGATGGCATGATGCCTAGGTATTATTTCTCTATTTTTACCCTTTTTTTTGCGTTTGCATTTGCACTTGTCTTTCGTTTTTATGTTGAATGAGATTTGTGGAGTTGACGAAGTGTTCTGATCTGCTGCATTATTCTGTGTTTGACTCGATCTTCAGATTTTATTCGTCATTGTGCTTTTTTGCTGCAGTAGAAAGTTTCGTGGCTGGATCTTCTATTTAGATTTAAATTTTTCTGTCTGATTATACTTTTTGCTTCGATTTAAAATGTGCGAAGTTGTGAGCAGTTGTGGCTTAAATCCCCAAATTAAAGAGGTTTCTGCAAAAGCTCGATTTGTTAACAGCTTCTAGAAATTAAATGTTTTGTTATATTCCCTCTAAATTTTTGTTTTCAAATTTCTAGATTTGTGAATTTGATCCGTAATTTTGTGTGTGGGAACTTGCAGTGACACCACGTTCGGTGTGGGACATGATGCTTTCAACACCTTCTTCAGCGAGACTGGCTCAGGAAAGCATGTACCCAGAGCTATATTTGTTGATCTTGAACCTACGGTTATTGATGAAGTTCGAACTGGAACTTATCGCCAGCTTTTCCACCCGGAACAGCTCATCTCTGGAAAGGAAGATGCCGCCAACAATTTCGCTAGAGGCCATTATACTGGTTAAGATCCACCATATTTACAGATTCGAAGTTTCCTCTTTCATTAGATCTTTCCCCCTTTTTTTCCTATTTGTTCATAAACCAAGTCAAAGTTTGTGTTAATTGATCATATACTACATCACTACCTCTCAATCCCCGATTTTTGGAGTTCTAGATACTCTTGAGAATAGTTAGATAGCTACATTATTGCCATATAGTACATTAATTGAATGTTTTATTTATGTTTACATATAAGACTGATCTGCTCTTACGAACAAAGTTAATCGAACTTAAAAGCATTCAACATTTTTTTCCTTCTATTTTTGATATAGTACTTTATAGCTTGTGAGTTGTTACATCTGCATATGTATCAAACCACTGACTGTTACTTGTGATATTTTGTTTGCAGTTGGGAAAGAGATTGTTGATTTATGCCTTGACCGAGTAAGGAAGTTGGCTGATAACTGCACAGGCTTGCAAGGGTTTTTGG